AAAAAAAAAAGCAACAAATTCCAATTTTTTTTTTTCAAAATGGGCTTCAAATTGAAGAAATTTCTTTTTGTTCTTGGTTTTTCCCCTCTCTCACTGCACTGAAATAGTGTGAAATTTCTTTTGCTCTGAAACATTCACATCGAAATAGCATATAAGAACAGCAACAACTGCCGCGGTGTAGCAAAAAAACTAGACGGAAATCAAGACAAACTGAAAAAAATAAACAAAAGTTTATTCAAATTTTTTTTCTTAAACTATGCTTATCGACCAAATGTTTTTAAATGAATACTCAGTTAGTTGAGCAATCACTATCAGCGTCTTCCCAAATTGTTATTTTGGTAACAGTGATTTGTTGTTGATGAAAGCACTGCCAACTGAACAATAGACAGTGAACTTCCGGGTACCGTTACGATCCAATGTCGGAAATAGACTGATTGGAACACATCATAAAACATTAAATTACTTGTTAATTATTGTCATATCGTCCATACTGTTTTTGTACATGCATTATGAAAAGACTAAAATTACGAACAAGAGTTTAATTGCTGAACAATCTTTCTTCTATGTTTTTATTTTTTCACACTATTTTAATCTGTTATATACGTTAGATGATGGAAACAAAGGGCGTTGACGAAGAAGAGGAACACCATGAATCTGTCATTGACTGGGATTCGCTGTTAAGTGCTGCCGAAAATCCCGAACTTCAGGAAATTCTTCGGTCACCAGTCGAAGAGGCTATTCATATCCTAAAGTAAACGCAGTCGTTCGTTTTTTTTTTAGCACTATCCTCTTATTATGCTTTGACAAGAATCTGTATGTTTCAACAGACAAAAACCACTTAAACTCTGAAACTGTTTTGGCTTGAAAAGAGAGAAAAAGTAAGAAGTTCTATGCTAATGCAAAAAAGTGTTCAATAAAGTAGAAAAAAAGTGGTCAGGAATAAATTAAATATATTGGTACAATATACGATGACGGTAAATGTTGTCATCGGTGGGTTTTTAACTGATAGGTGACAGGTGAGAAAAAATGTATCAAAATATCTTTCCTTTAGTTTTCTGAAAACGGGTAGTATTGAAAAAATTTACTTGACGGGGATAAATGAAGTTTAATTCAAAGAAATAAGGAAAGGGGAGGGACAAAAGAGAAACTTATTTATCGTTTATAAGTCATAAAAAAGATAATTTTATGACCAGTCCACAGGTGGACTTTTAGTTGGCAGCCATAAAAATGCCGTTTTGCTTTTTTTTTTTATTATTGACTGTTGATTTTTATGCTAAATAAGATTATAAAATGCCCAATTTTAATATAATCGTTTTTTAGCAAAAATAAAAAAAAAAAGTAGAAAAAAAA